TTCCATCGCGGCCACGGCAACTTCACTCGCCACTTTCGATGCGCATTTTTTCACATGGTGCCCTCTTCCTCCGCACCTCTGGCAGACCTGTTGAGGGCACTCGTGGGCATAGTGGTTTGCGGAGCAGATGTGGCAACGGACAGACTTTTTTTCGGCGTCACCATCACTCGCTACGCATGCCTGTTCATCCCCTCCGTTTTTCTTCCTCGACCGTCGCCTCCTCCTAGACCCCTCCCCGACTGCTACGAACGCATGTTGCACTCGCCTGTCAACCTTCCCCTTTGACCTCAATGTCTCGGCTATCGTTCAGAGCATGCATCATTCCGCACGTTTGCACCTGCGTCGTGAAGTCGTTCTTGAACATTAGCCAGTTCTTTTCTTGGCCATCGAAGTTTAGCTGCTTGAGGCGCGGGATCCGGGCATTCATGGTTGGGTCGTACCGTGCCAGCGGGTCACTGGTTGTGCTATCGTGCGAGACGTCCCCCACAGACGGCAGCGTGGGTCCTTGCGGGGCTGTGTCCGGCAGTCCTCGTGCTCCCTCGAGCCCCTGTCCGGTGGTCGGCGCTTGATCCACACGACCAGCGCCGGGAGGGGCGTGCCTTTCCCCCCGTGACTCTCCCCCGCCGCCCGCTCCGGTCGTACTTCCGGCGGGCGGTGTCTCGGGCACTAACCGAGACAGGGCTTCCATGACGGTCCCTCACTTCTCGGTCATCATACTCTCGATTCTGGCGGTGGCCTCGTCGACGGCAGTCCTTAGCTCCTCGTGAGTCGGGGCTGCCTTGCCCTTGCCAGCATCTCCAGATCCAGTCGACATGTGTCCGCTTCACCAGGGGAATATGGGGTCAACCTTCGCTCTAGAGTGTTGATTGGTTCCAAGCCTAGTGCTGCTGGATAAGCACGGCTGACCAGGTTGACAGGGATGAAGAGATGGTAAAGTCGTTTATTAGGTTGCCCTCGTAGACAAGCAACAGGAGAGAGTGGGCGCCACGTGCGCCACAAAGCATCAAGCAACAGTCGCAAGATATTCACCGACGAAAAGACGCGCAGACTTTCTGCAACACGGAACAATTCCAACTACCAAAGGCATGTCGGGAGATACCCCGAAGATCCACGCCCGTGGAACGGTCACTTGCACACGTCTCGCTCTCAAACCATACATGAGTACTACCGCAGTAGCGTTCGTAACGATGACATAATCCACCTCACGGACAACTCAGCTGTGTACTTCATGGTCCCGGCGATGGGATGACTTCGTCTCTGTCGCCACGTAGATCCACCAGGTCGCGCCAGACGCGTCCCTCCCTGAGGGGGCGTCACCATACCGAGTACTCTCCGGGCGGGAGCCCCGTATCCACATCAACACCATGACCCAAGCCCTCGACGACGACTTGTGGCCAAGGACTTGAGCGGACGATTGCGGACCAACAGCGCATGACGCAAGAAATCCCCAAACGACGGCATGAGGCCTTGGCACCCGGCGCGACAACGCCAACATGACGCGAGAGGCGCCGGGTGCCAAGGCCGTGGTCGGAATTCTCGAATTCTCGTCTTTGTCAAGGAGGCGGGCAACACTCTCCACCCCAACAGCCACTACCCGAAGCTGACCTCGTGTGGTCAGCTCAACTCGGTCTCGCCGACATCTCTGTCGTCGCGGTTCCGGCAACACCTCGGCATGGTCGTGGTAGTATCAGGGCCGCTACCAAGACGGCTCGTTATCGCCCTGGCTGTCCGAAGACGAGACGATCGACAGCTTCTCCCTCCTGCAAGTGACGTCTTTCACGCTGTGCATGAGGACTTTCATGGTGAGGGGGCTAGGCCAAGATCTGGCGGACCGGTCACCCGGAGCGCACGTGAAGTGGAGTCGCGGGAACGCGCCTTGCGATTCGTCCCGGTGGGTACACAAGTGGGTCGCGAATCTGTGGACAACGAGGGCCAGCCCAAGGTCTTCAAGGCCACCGTCTTCGACTATTGTGACCCCCTGCTGGCGAGTGAAGTACCCTGACGGCGACTGGGAGGAGCTCACGAAGCGAGAGATGGACGTTGGCATGGGAGAGGCTGCCCGTCTTTCCTTCTCTGCCTGAGTAACGACCAATGTGTATGCCACCGCCATGAGCCTGCTGACGTCTGTCTGGCAGCCTGGGGGGGTGTACTGGCAGTGGATGACCGCGCGAAATGTTACGCGGATTCAACTTTTGCACAGTCCGTCATCGTACCGATCGACGGAAAATGGAGCTATGAGATTCAAGATCGCCGTCTCCTGGTCCACGAGAGTCAAGATCGCCTTCCCCTCCAAAACCGGGACTCCCCTTCACTAGTCTATGTCTTTGCTTACTAACTAGGAAGTGAGTAGACCCGGGTGTGGGATCCGGAGCGCCCGTCCTTTAGCATAGCCTTGTACCACGGTCAATGCAAGGGGGGGTGTCACGGCCGGTCGTCCCCACGGGTTCTCGAAATACGATGATGAATACCTCGCCATGGTCGCGAGTGTCCGGAGGGGGTAGGCTGACATGATCGGGAATCAGACTGACCAACGTGTCTCCCGATCCAACCTGCTGGAGGGGTCCAGGGTACATGTCCCCTGACCCCTGGCAGCACGGCCCTTCCTCGGCGGTTGCCCCCAACCCAAACCAGGCGTTTACTAATCAACACCGCCCCTGAAGCGAAAGATCGATTGAGCGATACCCTTGCTATTGCCACCCACTGTGAGCGCTGAACATGATATGCTGATTATGGGGCTTGCAACTGATGCTATGGATGGCGATATGGGTGCTATGTAACACTATTGGTGGTGGTCGCTGCTTGCTAGAGAGATTTGACGCCGCTTGATCGCCCTTGCGGACATTGTAGATATCTGAACAAGTGAGACGTACCTAACCCGATTGGATATTGCGCAACCTTGTGTCTGCTACAATACTAAAGTAGTAAAGTACCCCTCCGCCCCGTCAATATTTAAAAAGTGAACGCTCCGTGGACTGGTTCTACTCCTTGAACAATCCCGAACACTATGCCCTGCCCACAAAACCAAACAAGAAAACTAAACTAATCAAATTAAACACATTACCCCTATGTTTTACTTTCGTATACCTTTTTTTGGGTAAGTTAGCGTGTGACGACGGCAATCGACCTCGTCAAGTGTTAGACTAGTACGGACAGGAGAAGGTACTGGACAGAGAGAACGGAACGGCTTTTAATGTAAACACAACAACAACAACAACCCCGTATCTACTTCTCTTGGTTTAGCACCTCGTGGGCACCCAACCCGAAGTCTTGAACACGCATATGCGTTCGTCGCACAGAAAATGCCAGCAGAAGCGGGCCTCCTAGCCAGTTCCTGAACTTCAGTACAGCAGTTCGTGTACATCGCGTGTCATGCCTATCATATATCACGCACCATTCGCAGGTTTCCCGTGGACGTCACTGTCTCGATCATTGCATTGACAGAGATCGGCGAACATATGAGGGTCGGAAGGAACCACCCCTCTCACGGAATCGACCCATCCGAACTGATTTGTGGGCTTGGCGTCGCCTTTTTACGCAGACTCGAAAGCACAGCAGTCATGGCAAGCGGTATAGCACGTGCAGCGCACATTGGTTTCTGGGATTCACCCCTATTTCTCGACTAAATATTTGCCTCGAAGCTCCGCGAGCTCGGTCATACTTCAGATCTTGCACTGCACAACCTTCACGAGCCGCATCATTGGGCAACGTTGCGTGACACGCCAATGATGATCAGACCACACCCGATAAATTTCGGAGCATTTTCGGGGCATCTGTTGTTGTGGGATCTTGGTGAACTGCTGTGGGCTTGATGTCCCTCCCTGCTGTACACAGACTCAAGTCCAACAATCATGGCAAGAAGTATGTCTTTCTAGGTTGAACGTATAGACTACATACAACACGGAGTATCAAAGTGCAGTATTTGAGCAGGCGCCGCACACAACAACAAGTAATTCCTTCTTGAAGTATTTTTTAGTCCTCATTTTTGTTCTCAAACGACGAGACCTCGTCTGAACAGCAGTGAACACCATTTCATGTCTGGAAAGAGGGAGAGGGGCACCGTGCGCGTGCAATTAAAGGGATTGAGAAAGAGCCGAACAACCGAACGTCGGCTTACCAGCGGCATCCAGTGATCGCGGTGGTGCTGGATGCTGGATGTACATGTCGGGCCAATTAGCATCTCAGGTCTACCATCAGTCACTCATGTGACGAAACTTTGTGGCTTTCCGTCTCTCCGTCTCACACAAACGTATCCAAGTGCAGTTTTTCGCTACCTGTTGCAGTTTAAGGTTTTGTGTTCGCCCATTGAGCTAACGGTCTTCCGTAGGCACAGCAGGTAACCCACCAAATTTTTTAACTTTATGTCAACGAGGGGGGGTATGTGTAGAATATCTTCTGCGATTCCCCCAGAACAGAATCGAGGGGTGCGGTTGCACTGCTGTTGTTTCACTCCCCCTCGCCGGTGAGGTTGTGTATTGGACGGTGCCGGTCCATCTTCGTAGTTGACAGGGTAAATGCCAAGTCGTTCCTAACTCTCGACACGCGAAGTTGTACGAAACAAGTTGTACAAGAATTCAAATTTAGGACTCAAATTTCGTGAGGCTGCATTACCAAAGGAGATTACGTGTTTTCATTCCGCGGAGCAGATCGATCGCTGCACGGGCAGGCCGAACCAGGGGACAGACGATCGTGTTGTTACCAAGGGCAGACGATGATGCCAGCACTCACTCAGAAGCCGGCAATAGCTAGTGTGACCCCTCGATGGTACAGGTGAGCAAGCATCGTGTGACTTGGGAATGTGAGCTACCATATCGCCACCCACACACGCGGCTTGGATCTTCGAAAGTAGAAAGTAGAAAGAGATAAGCACAGCGGGTGTGCATGTATGTCGCTCACTAGAGAGCACGGGACCGGTGTTGTAGTGCCGTAAAATACCGCAGGTGAACTGCAAACCTGCCTTATCTACCACTACTGGAAACCGAGTTTTTCCCTCTCAAGTTATGTACAGCAGTAGATGATCCCTCTTCAAGCCACACGCTGTAGAAAACGGTTATCTGTCAAGTGTACATTTTAAATGCTTTGTACTGGTAACAAGTTTTTTTTAACCTCTGTCTACCCAGTCGTGTCTGGTTGTGCGAAATCTCTAAACTCTAAACCTCTTGATCGTAGTAATGCCTGCAGTATGGGACGAGCACCGACGATTTTGCGTGCGGATATTTTACATCCGGGGATTCTACTTCTTTATGAACAACAGCCGGACCGTCTCAAGAACGCCGCACCCGATCCCCCGCAACGCCCCTTTGCTGGTTCGGCCCGGATTTTTTCTCGAAAAACAAAAAAACAAGATTCCACATCGACTGCACCGCTGTTGCAAACAAAGACGGGGTGAGCCTTAAGGCTTTGGTGAAAGAAGTCGACGCGGCTAGAAAAAAAGCGAAAATAACGGCCGCCACCGCTACCGCTGCCGCTGCCGCGGCTGTCACCACCACCACCGCCGCCACCGCCGCCTCCACGGCAGCCCCGAACGCCCCGACTGCTGCTGGAAGCGGAACGGGAGCGGCTGGAGCTCCGGACACAGCACGCACCACTGGGGCCTCCCTGTCAGCTACGGCCGTCGATAGTCCCGCGGCAGCGATGACGGCGGCGGGAGAGACAGCAGGCTTCAAGGGCAGCAGCACCAACCCCGAAGGCGTCGTCGCCTCCGCCGCCACCACTACCGCCGATGCGTCCTGCGCACCAGGTGCTGCCACCTCCGCGGAAGCAAGCGCCGGGCCGCAGCAGCGGAAGGCCCGGGGGTTGTCCACGCGAGAGAGCCGTGGCCGGGGTTGGCTGGACCTCATCGAGCGCCTGGAGCTGGAGCACCGCGGGGGCACACCCCTGGTGGCCAGCTCCTCGGAGGCGAGCGTTAGCGGGGACGATGAGAACGAGAACGACAGCGAGGCGGGCGACAGCAGCGACGGCACTACCGTCACCGGCGGCGGCGGCGGCGGCGGCGGCGGCGGCGGCCGCAGCGGCAGCGGCAGCGACGCTGCCGCGGGGGTTGGCAAGGGCAAGCCCAAGACGAAGAAGAGGACGAGGAAGCACAGCTTCGACTACGAGGACGACTTCATCGACGACACGTTGCTGGTCGAGGCGTACTACGCCAAGGTACGGGTATGC